GTCACGCGCTTGAGGTATTCGGCCAATCACAACGCATTGGATAGCTGGCCAATCAGAGCACACCTCGCTTTTCAGACCGATTAGTTTTGTAAAAATCGACGCGTTTCAAAAAGGCGGGGCATAGAGGAGAAACAATAATGTACAGTATGTGGAAAATAATGTGTTTTTTTAACTTTAAACCGCATAAACACATTTCATTACACCAAATACACCAAATAATGTTCTTTTTAGCAGCATCATATGACCCCTTTAAAAAAAGAAAAATATTTCAACTTGTTATCATGTTATTATAAGTTATTTTTGCTATTAAATGCCTTTTGTGTAAATATTTTACTGTTTCATTGCCTTATTAGACCCAGACATAAAAGTAAATATAAAAACATAAAAGTAAATGTTCAAAAACTATTCAGTGTTTATTATGTTAAAACTAAATGTTTCAAAAATTACAACTGTCTCACTGTTGTGACAAAAGTTAGTGTACTTGTTTAAAAGTGAAGACAAACGGTGTCATTTACTAACTGCTTGTTTTCTTAAAAAAAAAAACGAACAGCTTCCCAATTCTTTTTGTATTCTATCTATTTCTTTTCTTTTTATTTATTATACAATCAACAAAAGCAAAAAAAGGCCTATAACACTAGCTTGCTCTATTCTTTTTCTATTCTATCAGTTTTATTTGTATTTATTATATAATATATAAAAAACCTTGCTACGTGTAGGCTACTGTGTTAAGCTAACTGAGACTTGTTATAGCACTTGTATATCATTGCTCTTTTGTGATTTTGATTGCTTCCATTGTCCTCATTTGTAAGTCTCTTTGGATAAAAGTGTCTGCTAAATGACTAAATGTAAATGTAAATAAAATACATATGAAAAAGTAAATGCAGAAAATAATAAATGAAGGGAAAATTGATACAAAATAAATGTACAATTAAATGTAATTAAAAATGAATAATATTTGTTTTATTAAATTATATATTAATCAGAATACTTCATTTATTTCCTATTATTACATTTATTTATTTGTCTATCTATCTATTTATTTGTACATTTCTTTCTTTCTTTTTAATTTCTGCAGGTTTGTTCCTCCATATGAGTGTAGGAAATGCGCTTCTTTTCTCAAAGGTTTACGGGGCCAAAAGTGCCCTTTCTGTCAAAGAACGGTGGAGACTTTTATTTTAAAGTAGTATCATTGCAATGGACTGGTTGTGTTGTCATAGTAGCTGTACTCACGTTTTGGCGTTCCTCGTAGTCGCAGGCTTCACACGCGTGCAGTAGCCTGACAACAGCAGCAGCAGCAGCAGGCGGAAATGGGGAGAGAGGGGCACCGCACCGTTTAACAAGACACTCTTCAACACAACACGACCAATAAAACAATTCACCATCGGTGAGCACGCGCCTCAATCTACAAACTCCAAGCGCGCCGATCGCTTGTTTTTTTCCTCTCGTGATTTTGAAATAATCAATATAAACAACCGAAGCTAACGCGAGCTCGCGTGCTAACCACTATCACCATAAAAACCGAGCTGTCAGGCGTACATTTGTTGAAAACTGTTCGTGCATTCAATCCCTGGCGGTGTAAATGCAATACGGGGATTATTATAAGGGGTTTTAAGTGAGATAAATCAATGCATAATGTGATTTCTGCTTGCATGACGGTGCCTTTTTAGCTAACGTTACACGCGTCTGTTAGCGCCTTAAAGACTGATTCACATGGACTGATTCATATTGATTATTAGGACAGTTTCAGATAGGATGATGTATTCCATATGTAATCAGATAGTAGCACAGTGCAAGAGTCACGTTTGTGATTGGCAATGCGACTGATGCATGATTTGTGGGGGCCTCGGGTGTGTTGCTGGTTTCAAGGCCAAGGTCGCAATGAGGCCTAACTGATATGAATGAATAATACTCTTTAGCATATGATGGATAGTGTTTAGATGCATCTGTGATTGTTATGATGGGTGTAGTGCAGTAAATATGTTGCTGGAGGGCACTGGTTTTCATCTGTTTGGAGTCTGAAACGTGGATGATTTTTTGCTTGTGTGCCACCAAGGATTATTAAAAGGGTTTTATGCCTTTTTTATAGAATTAAAAATTAGTAAATGTGGTGTTGCATTAAGATTATTTATTAAAAAATTTACCTTAATTGTATTTATCATTTTTTTGTCTTACCATGGTAATTCCATGCTATTTGGACATTTAGTAAAACCACAGGTGTCTTATAAATACTATGGCAAGTGAATGTGATTATGATATCGCTTAACAAAAAGTACCTTGGTTGTATTATTACCCTGATACTTCAAAATATATTGTAGAACTAAATGTTGACATGGAACTCCAGATTATATGTCCCAAAACTATAATAGTATTTTTTTAAGTAGTAAATCTCAGAAAAGTACTGTGGCGGTACCATGGTACAGTCAGGTGGTACTATAGTACTTTGATGTAAATCATGGTCCTGAAATAGAATGAGTATAATGTGCAGGATAAACCTCAATAATAGGGTTTATTTTAACATGTAAACTGACCAATATTTGTTGTGAGGTTGATTTCTTGATGAGTTGTTTATCATGTATTGTGTGTGTGTATATATATATATATATATATATATATATATATATTACACACACACACTTACATTGTAAACCAGTTATTAATATTGATTTAAAAATGCTATGTCATTAAAAGCTGAATTGTTTTAGAACAATTTAAATATGAAAAAAGAGTCATAAATTGTCTTCCGCACAGCAGTATGAGCAATTCTGTAATTTTTTTGGTAATGTTTTTAATCTTTTTTTAATAAATGTGGATAGAGCCATTAGAATAGAACATACAGTGTTATATGTCACAAAGTCTTCAAACTCTAAATAAAGTTTGATGCCATTTGATATGTGCTTATTCCATAACCGGTTAAGGTTTATTCTGAAGTTAAAACTTACCATCAGCTCTATGCTGACATATGAATAACAAAGTTGTGTACCCGTTCACCAAGTTCATAAATTGCATAAATTCTTCAAAATAAAGTGACAGTAATGTAAGCAGAATGAATAATTGATGAGAATTTATGAGCGCATGTGAGACAGGGGTTACAGAGACCTGACCTTTATTTTCAGGGTCAAATCAGGTGACCTATAGTGGATAGGTTGGCCCGAGGGGTACTTTCATGTGACAAGTTTGGAGGTGGTGTTGGAAATCATGTGTTGGGCACGTTTATGTTGGTACTCCTGCATGTGGAATTACTTTGAAACTAGTTTTTCTCATGTTTGTCTGTGAATATATACTAATTGGTAATGAAGTTGATTTATATAATGAAGCTTATAATTCTCCTAAATTTATAGTTCAATATATTGATTTTTCTCTGATTGAATATATTTAAGAACAGCTCATTTTGCTTCTGTTTTTGTTCCATAGCGCACTTTCTCCTTTCTTGTCTGTATGTTTCTGCTATAGTAATCACTATTTCGAGAGATTTTAGCTGTTTTATCTTGGACTGAATGTTACTAGTAGTAAACAGTCAGTCCTCACAGAATCATAGCTGCTGCTATATTCAGAGTCATTCACATGGTAATGTAGGTCATGCTGAGCGCTTTGTTCTAAAACTCGACTGGGTCTGCGGGTAGGGCTGGACGATATGGCCAAAATTGATATCACGATATATTTCTTAATTTCGGTCGATACGATATTATCACTTTTGATCAATTTTAAGCATCCTTGCTAAATAAAAGTATTAATTTCTATAATTTTTTTCCCAAAAAAATAATAAAAATTATACTGAATGGAATAGTGTATAATGTTACAAAAGCTTTTTATTTCAGATAAATGCTGATCTTTGGATCTTTCTATTCATCAAAGAATCCTGAAAAAAAAATTTACTCAACTGTTTTAAATATTGATAATCAGCAAATTAGAATGATTTCTGAAGATCATGTGACACTGAAGACTGGAGTAATGATGCTGAAAATTTACCTATGTATGATCACAGGAATAAATTACATTTTAAAATCTATTCAAATAGAAAGCAATTTTAAATAGTAAAAATATTTCAACATTTTACTGTTTTTGCTGTACTTTGGATCAAATAAATGCAGCCTTGGTAAGCAGAAGAGAATTCTTAAAAAAAACAAAACCATTCAACGAAGTCAAACGGCACAAATAAATCAATGTATGGGAAACACTGGTAATGTATATCGAAATATCGGAAATGTGTTTAAAAATCATATCACCGTTATTGAAAAAAATTATATCGCGATACATATTGATATTGAATTATTGTCCAGCCCTAGTCTGCGGTATGCAGCCAGTCTGGCCTGCCATTTTGCCTACAGTGTAGCTAGAGGTTAACAGGAAGTCTAGATGTCTACGCCGTTTTGACCAAGTGGACGTAGTTCTGCTAAGTTGAAATAAGAGCTAATAACTTTACTAGTCTCCTTTGCAGTAAATCAACATTGAAAATAGTCAAGGATCCTAAGTTGATTTTAGAATTGCTGGCTAGAATTGCTATATATATGCAATGAATCGCCTGCGATTTTGAACGTGATTTTGTGTAGCTTGTCAGTGATCTACGGCTCTGTGTAGTAAATGCCGCTCCATCTGAAAGCATGTGCTGGAGATTTACTACTAATCACCAGAAGCGGCTTTACTGACGAGATTCGCATGAAAATCGCATTCGATTTTTTGCCCAGCCCTATATATATATAGCTATATCTGTGTGTTTGTTTATATGTATATGTAGGCCTACTATACTCATTTTAATTCTACAGAACTCTGCTAATTTGTTATTTGCCACTACTGATATCTAAAAAAGAAATAAATTACACCAGCAACTATGAAGTATTTTTATTATAGATTATTCTGATGATTATTTCCATCTTTAATCTAATTGTGAAATATAGATATGTAATGCAACATTGAATTTTATACAGTAATGGATTCCCTTCCCTGTCTCTTTAGCTATGTTTCCATCCACCTATTTTTATGTGCATTTTGGGATATCGCATAAGAAAACGTTGGATGGATACGCCAAGATGCGAATAAATTCTAAAAATGCACATAAAAAACTTATGCGCTCAACTAAGTAGGATACATTTCTTAATTTCATAAAAACATGCGCATAAACTATGATATGGAAACACTTTCACCGAATAAATTCCTTAATGCGCATCAAAAAAGACATGTGACTTTGCGATGGGACAGCATAAAACTGGACCAACCAACGGACCGATCTCATTTCAAGCATCTGAAATGCTAGTTTTGTCATTCTAAAATGCTTGAGCAAAGTCTCATCAAAGTGCTTCGTTATAATTAACTCCCAGAACTGCGTTCCTAAACGGCAAGCTCCGAAAATAAGATAACATGACGTTTTGTCTGCGCGCTCTGAAGCTCGTAATTTATTGTATACAGAAAATATTATATACAGTGCCTTCTACTATACTGTAGCAAATAAAATTTTTCTTCATGATATTTACCGCAAGTTAATCAGGAAGTGCCGATTTTGTTCTCTTCAACTCACTGGATAAAAATGGTGCTTTATTCACAAATATTATATGCGATAATCCAATTTTGCGGGTAAATTTAATTCTTAACTTTGGATGGAAACATAGCTTTTGTCTGCCATAGGGTTCCTGGTCTGAGAAAGTTTTAAGACTTCTGGTCTTTGTCGCGAATTTTAATTATTATGTGCAAAAATGTAAATATAAATCTTTAGAATATTAATTCTATAAAATAGGGCTGGGCGATATAGCTAAAAAATGTATCAACGATATAATGTGTCATATTGTTTGGTATCGATAATTATTGACATTTTTATAACCTTTTTTAAATTAAATCATATAAATCAAATATAATTTAGTAAATTGCATAAACAATTATGAACAAAACTGCATCATCTATTTATGCATTGATTAATACAAAGAGCCGAATCGCCCATCACGCAGATTGCATTTAAAAACATAAGATACGCAGTGAAAAGGAATAAACCTCCACAATTTCGCGATTTGTTTTCTAAAAGCTTAAACTGTTTTAACTTTGCATGGCTACATCTCTTCTGTGAGACGCGAGTGCAGCAGTCATATTTGTCCGTCTAAAAAAATGCGCTGAATATGCGTTCTGTGTGAATGACTTGGTTTCGGTTTTCACCTAATCAAGATCTTCTCCGCATTGAGCTTCTATATTTCTTTAATATTTTGAATGCATAACACAGCAGCGGCGCATCTCGTGGGCTAGACTAACAAAACATTAAAATGCAATAACGTCACTTACATCATTATCACTGCATTTTGCGCACCACTGATGACGCTCCCTGACGCACTCCTAACATTCAAATGCAAATGTTTATTTTAAATTTGACTAATTTTCATTTTTTATTCGCAATCTCCTCATCACAGGCAGGCACAGCACTCAATTCAGCATGTGTTCGTGTTTGTGTGTGCTGTCTGCGTCACTCATAGCACGTGCCTATATCGTGCACTATATCGAACATTTTTTATATCGTTATTGAAGAAGGTGTACCGTCGATAAATATTGATACCGTTTTATCGCCCAGGCCTACTTTAAAATATTGTGTACTTTTTTGTGTACTGTTTTTCCTACTGCAACCTAGTTAGTAGCCTGTTCATGCACAGGGGGAAAAAAACCCCTGTGATATTAACATTTTTGTGGATCATTTTTATTGTTGATTTTCATTTAATTTATCAATTAGTTGTTGTAGCTTAAAATGACAGATTCTGGAAGCTCATACACTATTTGAAGGAGATCTCATTGATTTTATTTTGTATGGCTCTATGATGATTTAATTACTGTAGTAACTGTTTTTGTGATGGTATTGATCTCACTAATTAAGATAAAGTACCAGTAACAAGTTGTCTTGAGCCTTGATTTTCAAAACTGGAAATCTGCTTGTGCGTAGTCGAACCGGGCAGCCGTGACCTGGCCAGCTGTTTTGCAGTCAAGCATTTAACATCGAATGTTTTGTTCACCGAAACAGATGTGTGTCAGCGTTTTCAAAATCTGAAAGTAAATAACCTATGTGGTTGCATTAGAGATTCATGAACCCGAACAAGGAGTCTGAGAGCAGATTTTTAACCAAGAGCAAATGTGTTTGCTCTCTGAAAATGAAGCCTTGTGTTACTTGAGCTGAAATGACTTGTGGTGATTTTTTGCAGCTGTGTCGAACAGCGGTGATCAGGAGGAGAGTGTGGGCTCGATCCTGAGTGACAAAAATGTGTTGACAAGCCAGTTGTCATCCAAATTCAGCTGTCCTCTCCTTGCCAGAGATATGTCCATTATCACAAGCTATGTTTCCTTTCTCTCCATTTTCAGAGTATTAAAAGAATATTGTCTCAGGCCCCCTCCCCCATCTGCAGCATTAAGGTACTGTGATCATTTCTCTCTGCTGAAATAGTAAAATACAAATTGTTTCATAATCAGTATGTTTAAATGTCCACTGTTATTTGGTCAAAGCAATGGAAAATATACATGTATGCTTTAGACAACTTTATAGTGCAAGTAAGAAATTACTGAGGTATTTCATTTATTGTTGTAACATTGTTTATTAGAAGTAGGGATATGCCGGTATTCACGTCCGCGCTTATTTACATCAGAGTGCGCAGGCGTCTTTCACGCAGCATACAGCGTGTTGCGCATTTTGACCAGTTGATGGGAAAAGTATTCTTAAAATGCATTCAAAATTCGGAATAATTTGTAATATATAATTATTCACGGTATTTAGAAGTGCCCACGATAACAATATCGTGCATATTCATCACCGTGATATATCGCATTACCGAATACCGGCACAAGTCTAATTAGAAGATACACCACTGTTCAAAAATTTTTGGGATCAGTAAGTTTTTTGGAAATAAATAAATAAAATAATAGTACTTTCACTCAGGATGACATTTATAATGTTACAAAGATTTGTATTTTAAATAAATGCTGTTACTTTAAAATGTCTGCTCTCTAAAGAATTCTCTAAATAAACGTGTCATGCTTTTTACAAAAAACATTAAGCAGATCAACTGTTTTCAAGATTGAAAAATATTTCTTCAGCACCAAATCAGCATATTAGAATGATTTCTGAAAAATCCTGTTATACTGAAGACTAGAGTAATGCTGCTTTATTTTTCAGATAAATGCAGCATTGTCTTAAAATCTTACTGTCCCCAAACTTGAATGGTAGTGTTTAAAAAAAAATAAAACGTTGTTAAATGTTTGAATGTTTAAATTAAGTTTTAGGTGAACTTTGTTTCTACATATATAAATTAGGGTTAGTATGAATAGTGCTTTTGAAGAAGAAGCAATCATTATGGCAAAGTTTGTTTAATCAAGATCTGAATGTCAATTTAGCCTTACATGGCTTGTTAAAACAAAACTGTTGGTCATTTTACGCCAATTAGTTAGTTTGTTTTTGACCAGAATAAAATGTTTACCCCAACCTTATGCCAAAAGTAAAATTGACCTACAGCTAATTTTTTGTTGTATCATTGCAATAAGGTGCTTAATTCCATAATTTGATAAATTGATAAATACAGTATAATATCAGACATGTTTGATCTATAAGTAAAACACATTTGTTTTTGTGCTATACAGTTGTGCAGATTCTAAATATTTTTGCTTTACAGTTGTGCAGATTGTAAATGTATGTCTATTTTTCCTAGCAGAGTAACTCGAGGGGGAAAAGAATGAGCTGATTTTAAGAGCTCTGATAATGATGCCCAGAATAAGTGCGGCCTGGTCACACAGCAAAGTGGGAAACGTACACGCTGTGAGTAAACACTCTCATCTATAATCAGTAACCCACCTGATCCAGATGGCCTCTAACAAGAACTAAATAACATGTTTCTCAAAATACCACCAGACGTAACAGCAACGTGACATAGTTGATTTTAGCGCTGTTGTTTGTGACATCCTACTGATTTGATGTTACATGCTGTCTCTTGCAGTGAGCATTAGAAGGCCATGATGCAATGAGATAAACACTGGATGACTGGAGGTCCCCTGCTTAACAGTCTCTAAGCATGGCTGGCCTACAGCTGGTGACCCCTGCCTCCTCACCCATGGGGCCCTTCTTCGGTCTCCCGTGGCAACAGGAAGCTATTCATGACAACATATACACACCAAGGAAATATCAGGCAAGTCCTTTGAAATGTTTTGACTCTGATATTTAAGCTAGTCTGAGTGCTTTTAAGTTGCATACAAATACTCTGTACAGCTCATGGCCTATATTTTAAATATACTTGTGACATACTATAGATTTTTGTGAGGAAGAGATGGAAATTTTAGTCATTAACCACTGAAGATCTTCCCATCTGCCATAGCTTTCAACGTAACCTGAATGTGTGAAGATGTGTTGCTGTTCCTCACACAAAGCTATTGTTTTAGGAGACTTTAAATATTATGCACAGGTCATATGGACTGTTTTTACAATGTTTTTGATGGTGCTTCACTCTGTTACTTTCATTGTACGGAAAAGAGCAGCTTGGACATTTTGCTAAACCTCTCCTTTTTGGTTTCATTGGAAATGAAATTAAAATCATGCATCAAAGTAGTCACAATTAATTTGTATTAGGCTTGCTGCGATAGACGGTGTTAAGCCGCAACACCGGTTACGTCATTTGCCTACCGCGGCACCGCCCCCCCACCGTCGTTTTGATTTTTTTTATAGTAACAAAAATCATTTAGCCTAGTTCAGTTAGAGGACAGACACTTTAAAAAACTAAACGCTCAATTCAGCGTGCCGAACCGTGCGCGAACGACAGTGCACCACGGAGCAGGTGTCAGATTTTATTTATCACGTGAGGAGAGTGAGTCGAGCTGACTGACCCTTGGTGTGCCGATAAAGCTGCTGGAATCATGGTCCGGGAGCTGCAGAAATATATCAAACATGAACAGGAAGAGCTGAACCGCAAGTTCCTGTTGTTCACAGACACCATTCTGAGAAAAATCCACGCCTTATGTGAGGAGCATTTCTCTCCAGCTTCCCTAGACCTGAAGTTTGTCACTCCCAAGGTCATTAAACTTCTGGAGATTCTCCACGAGTACAAGCCTTTCGAACGGCAGCAGTTTGAGAGTGTGGAGTGGTACAATAATCGCAATCAGGACAATTATGTTTCTTGGAGCGATTCTGAGGACGAAGATGAGGATGAAGAGGCGGAGGCAAAGGAGAAGCCCGAAGCAAATTTTCCGTCGCCTTTCACCAACATCCTCTGTGGAATCATCTTTGTGGAAAGGCGATATACAGCGGTTGTTTTAAACAGGTTTGTTTGCAGTGCTTCACTGTCTGTCTTAGAAATTCAATACAAATAATAAATGCACTAAAACTACAATCAGTCATTTTCAATGCTAAAATGAATTTAGGAGTCACAATATTATAATGTACAGTATGAAAAATGGATATTTATTTTGTAATTCATTGTAGATTGCCATTAAGAGTGTTATTAAATTGTTAGTGTTTTAATGGTAAATGGTTATTAGTGTTTAAATGAAGGCAAAGGTAATCTAAATATATAAAAATCATTTGATTGCGCCGAAACTATTATTTGAGCAAAATGCAGTAAAAACTCTAATATTGTGAAATATTATAACAATTTAAAATAACTGATTTCTATTTTAATATATTTTTTAAATGTAATTCATTCCTGTGTTGGCAAAGCTGAACTTTCTGTAGCCATTAGTCCAGTCTTTAGTGTCACATGACCAGAAATCGTTCTAATATGCTGATTTGGTGCTCAAGAAACATTTGTTATTATTATCAATATTGAAAACAGATGTGCTGTGTAATATTTTTGTGGAAACCATGATACATTTTTTCAAGATTCTTTGATCAGAAAGTTCAAAAGAATAGCATTTATATGAAATAGAAATATTTTGTAATATTTTAAATATCTTTATTGTCACTTTTGATAAATTAAGTGTCTCCTTGTTGAATAACAATATTCATTTCTTTCAAAAAATATCGCCTGAATCTTATATACATTTTGTTATATTTAACAGATTGCTTATTTAAATTATCCAAAGGTACTTGAATGCACCCTGTGTTATTTGTGTGTATCAGGCTTATCAAGGAGGCAGGGAAGCAGGACCCAGAGCTGGCCTACATCAGTAGCAACTTCATCACAGGTCACAGCATCGGCAGGAACCAGCCTCGCAACAAACAAATGGAGGTGGAGTTCAGAAAGCAAGAGGAGGTAAGAGAATCCAGTAGTCCTAGGTAGTCTCTTGTGCCACTTCTTTAGCTTGTGCTAATCATAAATGTTTTTGCCGATTTATATTATTGTCCAGGTCCTGAGGAAGTTCAGAGCCCATGAAACCAACTTGCTCATTGCAACCAGCATTGTGGAAGAAGGCGTTGATATTCCAAAGTGCAATTTGGTCGTTCGGTTTGACCTGCCAACAGAGTACCGGTCATACGTGCAATCCAAAGGTCGCGCCCGGGCTCCAGTCTCCAATTACATCATGCTAGCTGACAGCGAACGGACAAAAACGTTTGAAGAAGACCTCAAGACCTACAAGGCCATAGAGAAGGTCAGCAGGTTTAATGAGATTTCCTGAAAGAGGTTGCGTGTACATTAAAATGTGTCGTACGTCTTTTAGATCCTCCGAAATAAGTGCTCAAAGTCAGCAGAACGCAGTGAGTTTGAACTGGAGCCGGTGACCGATGATGACAACGTTCTACCACCTTACGTCCTGCGCTCAGAGGACGGCGGCCCACGTGTCACGATTAACACAGCCATTGGGCACGTCAACAGGTCAGTACTCTTTTCTGAGATTTCAAAGATTGCTATATTTTGTTGCACATAATGTCACGTTTAAATGCTTTTGTGTGTTGTGCAGATATTGTGCGCGTTTGCCCAGTGATCCGTTCACTCATCTTGCTCCGAAGTGTAAAACTGTGGAGCTGAAGACTGGAGGTTATCAATCCACACTCTTCCTACCCATTAACTCACCACTCAGAGTTCCTGTCACCGTGAGTTCTTGCCAAAATATATTTGAACTTTTTTCAAAAATATTCTGAGATTTTTGTCTTCTTTGCTAGGAGTTTACACAGACTGCCAGAATTTCCTCACCCTTGTGTTATTCCAAACCTGTTAGACTGATTTTCTTCCATGGAACACAAAAGGAGATGTTTTGAAGAATGTTCACACTGCTCTTTTCCATACAATGAAAGTGGGTGGAAACCATGAGCTGTCAAACTCCAAAAAAAGAAAAAAGCGCCAGAAAAATTGTCCATATGATTTGGTATTAGTCTTTTGTGTTCCATGGAAGAAAGTCTTACAGGTTTTGAAAGACATGACTAGGGATGGGTACTGAAACCCGGTAATTCAGCTCTTAATTTGTCATATATATATATATATATATAACAAAAAGTACCGATAAGAATACCGTTGAAGTACCGAATCAATAAGCAGTATTGGTAAGAGTAGTAATACCGTTAAAACCTTAACGATACCCATCCCTAGACATGATGTATGTAATTTTTCTTTAAATTCCTTATTGAAAGTAAAACATCTTCTAAATGTTTCTTCATCCCTTTAGGGGCCAACAATGAATTGTGCAAGACTTGCAGAGAAAGCTGTCGCTCTTCTTTGTTGTGAAAAGCTGCACAAAAATGGTGAGCAGAAAAAGTCCAAATATATGAGATTTCTGATGCGTTCTGAGACTTGCTGACTGATGTGTGATGCCCGTGTCTAGGTGAACTGGATGATCATTTGATGCCAGTGGGAAAGGAAACTGTAAAGTATGAGGAGGAGCTGGACCTGCATGATGAAGAGGAGACGAATGTGCCAGGAAGACCAGGCTCCACCAAACGGAGACAGTGTTACCCAAAAGCCGTAAGTGTCATGAACCCAAAATATCTTTTTAAAAGTCTGTCAGGATTCATGTTTTTTTTTGGTGCCACCAAACATAGTTTGTGGTCGGTAAGTGATTGTGAAAAATGTTTCTTATGCACAAATTGCATTTGTTTGATTATAAATACAGTGAAACAGTAATATTGTGAAATATTACAATTTAGAATAACTGTTTTGTATTTTAAAATATATGTAATTTATTCATGTGATTGCAAAGCTGGAATTTCAGCATCATTACTCCAGTCTTCAGTGTCACATGATCCTTCAGAAACCATTCTAATATGCTGATTTGGTGCTCAAGAAATTTTTTATTTTTTTTATTTTATTGTTTTCTCTTTTTTTTAAATACAATGTGTAGAAGGTATAGAATAATGTTGGGTTTCCTGTCTTGTAGATACCAGAGTGTCTGCGGGGTTGTTACCCTGTGCCAGAGCAGCCTTGCTACCTTTATGTCATAGGGATGGTCCTCACCACCCCTCTTCCTGATGAGCTCAACTTCCGGCGGAGGAAGCTGTACCCACCGGAGGACACTACTCGATGTTTTGGCATTCTGACAGCTAAACCAATACCTCGGGTAATCACCTTTAATTTAACTTTCTGAATCTGCAGATCCTTGGAGAAGAACTTGTCAATCTTTATTTATTGTGAAATACTTTGATAATTATTTATAATACAGTCAAGTGTATTCTTCATTTGATTATATCTGCAATTCATTAACTTACCTTGAACTTTCAGATCCCTCACTTCCCTGTGTATACACGTTCTGGTGAGGTGACCATTTCAATTGAGCTGCAGAAGTCAGGCTTCACTCTGAGTGCGGAGCAGCTGGAGCTGATCACACGTCTGCACCAGTACATCTTCTCCCACATCCTCCGTCTGGAAAAGCCAGCACTGGAGTTTAAGCCCGTAGAGGCAGATTCTGCCTACTGCGTTCTACCTCTCAACATTGGTGAGTGCTGCTGCTGCTGCTGCAGTCAGTCACAGTGAGATGTTGTCTTGTTTGAATGTGAGATTAAAGTTAGTCCTTCCTCTGATTGTCAGTTTAGGATATGGTCTTATCTAGATCTGCAATGAATCTGTCAAATATTTATTTGATTATTTGGACAAAATGCCAAATTTTATGACCTGTATTTTACTGAGCAGACATGGGCATTCCAGATCCATTTTTTCGCTTTTAAAAAAAATAATCTGAGTCAATCCATTCCACAGCATACGGACCCAACTAATAATGAAAAGCAGGACTTTTTTGACAGCACTGTGA